GGCCCTTTGAGCGCGGGGCGGTGCTTGTATGTGGGAATCGTCATCTGGGATTGTCTTTTTCAAGTTGTCACACTGTGATCAAGGGCGCAGGAGCCTTTCTTTATTTTCTTTGTAGATAAGAATGTTTTGATATCCTGGTTGGTCTCGTCCCGTCGTTTGGCCTGTGAGTTGCGGGCCGGTGCTTGCATGTGGGACGTGTCATCTGGGATTTGTTTTGTTGCTCCCTGTTCTGTATTATTTGGCTGTTCCCTTCCTCTTTTCTTTGCCTCTTTGCCTTCTGGCTGTGTGCAAGTGGGTCGATATGACACACGGGGGTGGGGGCAGCCKCCGCTCAACCTACATYCAYGTGGGCGGCCTTGTACGCAAGAGGTTCTGAACAGGGGGAGTTATAAGGAAGAAGATAAAAAATTGAAATTAATATTCCCTGGTTTTCTTTTCTCCTTTTTTCTCTTTTTTTCGCATTTGCGCTCTGATATTCTTGTGACAATATATATACTACCCCTTTATTTGTGGTTGGGTTTCCACTTTTTTAATGCAAATTTAAATACGATTTTGGATATGGTGCGCCAAAAGTTGCTTGTAATGCTTTGGAGCATAGCATATCTGAACTCCTTTGTGTTTTCCGGCTGCTCGTACGAACGTGGGCTTGTATTCACTTGGTGCAGATATATCTGTTTGTTTAATACGGAAAGGCCCCGTAAGTGTACGTTCGGTAACATAGCCACACACTGTCCAGTTCAAAAGCATGCTGAGGAAAAAGATGCTGAGTTTTTGGGCTCATTGGGGCCTTTTTGGGGAATTCATCAAATTTTGGGAATTTTTGGGAACTTTTAGGAACATTTTGGAAATATTTGGAAGTTGTTGGGAGCTGAGGCAAAGAATTTCGATGTGACCCTGAGGCAAAAGTTGTTCCTTTTATTTTTCTGCAAAACATAGTTTTTTTTTCAGAGTTTTTCGAGTTTTTTTAATTTTATTTTTTTGCCCTTGCACGGCTGGGCCGTGCGGGCAAACGTGGCTGGTAGCCTAGGTTATGATAGCTTGATGTGTGACATGTGTGCTAATTATCATTTTTCCTCAATGTACAGATGCCCTTGGAAAGTGGCCTGCTTCAGCGGCGACAGCGAGTATGTATTAGGTGCATCCGCGCTTAAAGCGGAACACAAGATCCATATTTGGAATAGAAATTTCGGTCAGCTGGTCAGGATCTTAGAAGGACCCAAGGAAGGGATCTTGGACCTGGTCTGGCACCCGACGAGGCCAATCGTGGCGTCGGTGGCAACATCGGGTGTCGTTTACCTGTGGGCGAAAGGGTACATTGAGAACTGGAGCGCATTTGCACCAGATTTCAAGGAGCTCGAGGAGAATGAAGAGTATGTTGAAAGGGAAGATGAATTTGACCAAGTGCAAGAGGAAAAGGTCAGAGGCGGAGGCTCCTTCTCTTCTTCACTGTGATGCTCATGTTTTCTTTTGCCTTAGTTTTGAATGCCTGTGTGTGTGTGTGTGTGTGTGTGTGTGTGTGTGCGCGCACGTGTGTTTGTGTGTGTGTGTGTGTGTGTGTGTGTGTGTGTGGATTAAAGCACAAGTACACCATACTTGCCCCGCTGGTTTCAGCAAGAAACCCGCACCACTTCGGAGGCCGCCAATTTTTTTTCTCAACGGCGCCCCGCGCCGCACGGCCCCTCTGAGGTTTGGTTGTGGTGACAAAAACTCTCTGCAAGGCTGGGGCCGTGTACTTGTGGTTTAAGGGACTTTTGAAAAGAAGAGGGGGAAAAAGAGTTCTTCGAGCATCCGTGAAAATTGGAAGGGACTCTTTCAAAAAAAAAAAAAAAAAGGACAGGAAGTACAAAGAAGGTTAGTATGGGCTCATCCGGAATGATGGGCTGTCGGGAACCTCCCCCCCCCCCCTCAAAAAAACAAAAACAAAAAAAAGTTATGATCATACTTGCGGCGCACTTCTGCGGTGCACCGTGCCATGCGCGTGTGCAAATTGGTCATGTGCTGAATTTTTTTATTTTTATTTTTAGGGATGTGTGTGTATACACACACACACACACACACATAGAGGTCTTTGCACGTGATTCTCAGGGCTTGGCTGCAGTAATCACCAAATGTGCAGAATTAGACTGAATCTTCTGCTAGAACGTGGAATAATACGCCGTCGTATGTTGTCTTTTGTGCATGTGGTGAGTAGAAGCCCTTAGGGCCACTGCAAATGTGCAGAATTAGAAACAATCTTCTGGTAGAACGTGGAATAATACGCCGCCATATGTTTTGTCTTTTGTGCATGTGGTGAGTAGAGGCCCTTAGGGCCACTGCAAATGTCCGGAATTAGAATGAATCTTCTGCTAGAACGTGGAATAATACGCCGGCATATATTTGTCTTTTGTGCATGTGGTGAGTAGAGGCCCTTAGGGCTACTGGAAATATTCCTAAGAAAAGAAAAATGTGAGGAATTGAGCCCTCAAGTAGGGGCCTTGCCATGATGTACATGTGCTGGGCTAAGGCCCCAGCAAGCCTCGTGCCCGCCCTAAGTGAAGGCGGGCCAGCAAATCAACAAGAGCCCTCTGTGCAAACATTTCCCGAAGTGGGGTCCATACAGTTGCAGCACACCAGTTGGTTGGAGTGCACCAAGTCTCGGATCTCTGCAAATGTGGAAATCCCAGGGCCTCTGAGTTAGTTAGGCCCTGGGCACTTGAACGTGAGGCCGACAATGCATGCTGGGTAGAGAGGCCGAAAATGCCAAAGGGAAATCGGCCACTATCTGAATCTGGCCGCAGGCCTTGATGAAAGAGGCGCAACTGCATTGCCCCGGGCCTCAACTGTATCGGGCTGGGTACAGCCACTGGGGCCCAGACGCAGGCTGAAGGGAGGCCGCCCACACGCAGCAGTGGCATATAGGCAAGCAGAGCGAGTGGGCAGGGATCTTGGCCATTGCGAGCAAGGCCAGCACGCTGCTGCGTTGCATGCATGCTGCGCTGCGCTAAGGCTGAGGGCAGCAGGACAGCGCTAGGCGGTAGGGCGCTGCCTGTGTGCGCAGGGCGCTGGCGGCCATAGCCGGGCTGCTAGGCAGGGGAGGTGAGGGCGAAGGTGGTTCTTCGGAGGTGAAGGGCGCTGTGTGGGTAACAAGGGAGAGTGTGGGTGAAGAGGACACGTACCTGGTGGAGGTGGAGGTCGGCATTGGTGTTGACATCATCACTCACTGGTAGTCAAGTTGTCTGGTTGCTTTCATTGCTGTAGTTGTAGGCTTAGTCTGTAGAGTAGATAGGGCGCCTGGCGCCATTCATAAGAGAGAGCTACATTGGGTTATGCGGTTGGTGTTGCCCTGTTGGGCATGGACATTGACTCACGATTCTTCTGTATCATTCTCAATTGGATGGTTACTCGGTTCCATTGTGCTATCTGCTCTGGCTTTGACTACTTGGACTTCAGTGTGATTTTGCATTCTGGATTTCTGTGCTTCGTCCATATTCATGTTCCCTGCAAAAATGAGAAAACAAAAGAAAAACGGGAAAACAGAGAATTGGTGACCCATAACTGTGATTCACAAACCTGAATTTGAATCCAGACTATATATTATCGGCCCATGCAGACAAACTAGAAGTCTAATGTCTATCTCTGCTTCACGAGGGGTCCTTGCTACTTCATAGGGCCCCTTTGGAAATGAGAGTGGACACAATTAGGACATGCACACCCACACGCACACACGTGCTCACAGTGTTGGGGTATGGGGTGGCCCCAACTTTTTTCCCGCTTGCAGTATGATTTTCAGAAGCAACGGGCATGTTTGGCCACCCCACCCTGTCATTTCATTTTTATTTATTTATTTTTTTTCGGTGATGCGCCGCATCACGTGCGCGCGCGTGCATGCGCGTGCGCTCTGCGCCGTATGTGCCGCGACCCCGCACACGGGATGCGCCGCAAGTATGTTTATGATCCTTGCCAATTTCGAGGTACAAATTCATGGGAAAGCACAATGCCGTCCAATTGCAAAAAGAAATGAATGAACTTGAGAGGGGAGAGAGGGAAACAATAAATAATAATAATGATGATGAATGGCAGAACCAGAATCAATGCCCGAATCACTCATCTACTGCCAGCTTAACTTGAGGTCCACCGTAGCCATGGCCACCCTTCTCTCATTCGGCTTCATAGGCCGAGGCTATGGCGGACTACTAGGGCCCTGCCCCGACATGCAAAAGACATCACAAAGCAGCTATATGGCTGCTTCAACTCAGGCCGTCATGCCTGACTCTGCCGCGAAGCTTCTTGGTGTAGCTCTACCCCAATGGGGACCTTCCAGATGCGGCGCCCACCACGGTGATGAAGATGGCGTCCACCATAGCCAGGTAAGTACCGCTGGCGCTTCCCTGCCCTAGTTCCTTTCTTACTCCTCCTGCCCGAGCTCCTCCACCATAGCCAAGGTGGGGAGGTGGGCACCCTTCTTCCCCACACAGTGCTGCACACTAGCGCTGCTCCTCCAGCTCTCCAGCAGCATGACGTCCAAACTTGCACGCAGCAAATGAGGAGGAGGACTTGGCTCCTCCTGGAGATATAGCAGCCTATTTGCCTCTTGGGCGGTGACTTCCAGGCCGCGCGGCCTCCAAGCAACCGGTACCTCCTCCGTTTCGGAGGGAAACATCATTGTAGACTCTGATATCGCCCGTACAGGCCCTGGACTAAGACTGCCCTGGACTCGGACTACTTGGACTGGTACCTGCCTAGACCTAGCCTACAACTACTGGGCCTCTAAAAATGCCAACTTTTCAACTTTTGTCTTCTTCTGCTTGTCCTCCAGTCCCCAACACATCTACTGCTACTCGGTGTGGTACCAGCCTACCTGCTACTTCAGTGCTTTTTCCCCACTGCTCTAAGTGTCGTGGGCCTGCTCATGCCACTTGAGTGTTTTTCCCGCTGCAACCCTCAACGTCACGGCCACGTGAGTACCGGCCCTTCAGGCCTCCCGAATGAACAAGTGCCCTTGCGGGTCACACACACACTCAAGCACTTAGACAGGCACGCAGACCAGCAAGCACGCACACACACAGACCAGGGAAACTCTCCAACAAGTGGGAATCTCAGCAAGGTATACATTCCATTGGCAAAACTCCGAAATCAGCTGTGTGTCTTAGTGTGTGTTTGGCAGGTCCTTACGAGAAAAAAAAAAATATATTGTTTTATTATTTTGAAGCTAGGTTACCAGGGGCTCCCAGCTGTGCAGGCTACTCGGGAACCCGTGCTTGCACCAAATGCACGCCCCGAATGTGGGAGGGATCTTTTTTTGGCTATTCACTATCGCTTGAGAGGGGAAAAGGTGGTATAAAGGGGCTTCAAGGGGTTCAAAAGCGGGTACCTTAGTTTGATTTTTCAAATTTCTTTGTTATCTTCGAGTTTGTAAGGAATTGCGAATTCTGAGATGACTCCCAGTCAAAAGTGGTTTCTTCATGCACTTTCGTCATTCACTGCCATCTACACTTTGCTGTCATTCAATCTGAGCGTCATGGGCTCATTTGTGATTCAATTGCAAGTCCAAGGCCCCACGGTTGCTATGTTCATTCTCGGGAAGCAACAACCTGGCCGCTATAATATAGCGGCCAGGTTCATGCTTGGCCAGGCTCATGCTTTCTTATGGCCAGGTTCATACTTGACCAGGTTCATGCTTGGCCAGGTTCATGCTTTCTTATGGCCAGGTTCATGCTTGGCCAGGTTCATGCTTTCTTATGGCCAGGTTCATGCTTTCTTATGGCCAGGTTCATGCTTGGGCAGGTTCATGCGTTCTTATGGCCAGGTTCATGCTTGGCCAGGTTCATTCTTTCTTATGGCCAGGTTCATGCTTGAAGCCAGATTCATGTTTGAAGCAAGCATAAACATAGTGCCAGTGGGTCCTGCCCCCTAAGCTTTTGAAATTGGGTCTCGGCTGTAGACGGGGCGTGTCAGTTGAACATGTTTGGTATGCTTATCGTAAAATTGAATGAATACATTTTCACATTCATAGCTTTGTTTGCAGTTATATGCTGAAATCGAGTGTGTATCTTGTGTCTGTGATCGGTCGGTTGGACTGCGAATGCGAAAGGTTAAGCCAGCAAGAGAGGAGGAGGACGAGGAGGTAGATATACTCACGGTTGAGAAAGTGCCAGCGTACAGCGACTCCGACAATTCCCAGGATGGTTTATACTTTCTTCCGACGGTTCCTGAACCCGACCCGCCACCGGAAGGCTGGGAGAATCTGCAGGATGGGGTTCAGGAAGACACCAAAGGAAAGGCGAAGGAGAAAGGGAACGAGACGCAGGAGGACGACGATGACGATAAAGAGAAGGTGGTAGGGCGGGCCAGAGCCCGTGAAATGGGCAGCGGACAAGAGTCGAGAAAAGAGCGCAGGCGTGAAGGACGGAAAAACACAAGGCTGTCCGCGGAACACAGAGGGGCGGCATGTCTTGCGGAGAGGGTCAAAGGAGAAGTAGCGCAGACACAGGAGGCCGGGAAAGAATGGTCAGCTGAACGGCAGGGAGATGGAGCTAGGGAAGATGATAAGAACCTGGTCGATACTGAGGACCAGGGAACTAACGGCAGGGGTGAGAATGACGCATCATGGCCAACAATGACGGAAGACACGGACGAGGTTGATGAAGCTGCCGCTGGTGAGTTCGTTGTATTTTGATTTTTAATTTAATGCTTTTTATTTATTAGGTTTTTAATGTTTGAACTTTGAATGGCGATTGAAGTCGCCGTATATTCCCTTCTTCTTTGCACACTGGGGGAAGGCAAATCTGTTTTTTTTTTTTTTTTTTTTTTTTTTTTTTTTTTTTTTTTGTGTTAATTTATTCGAACCATTTGTGGATTTATGCATGTCGTCCTTGTGCAGTGGCCATGCTAATCTTCTCTATGTCGTTCCAATTTTAGCAGATGTCCCAAAACGACAGTGAAGACAAATCATTTCTTCTCTATTTTCAATAAGGGTCACAAATTTCTCACAATCTTGAGATATCATCATTGGAATGACCGTGCCCGGAAAATTCAGAGTATTTTGGGCCTCGCCACCCCACCCCCGTGAAACCGGGCATTTTTCGGGGCGGTGTGTCACCACAACACACCAGCTCGCGAAATCCCTTCGTCAGATTTCATTCGGGAGTTGTCGGAGCTCAGCCTCCGAGAGCACTCCCGAAACCAGCCGTCGCCTCCTACCTGCAACCTACTTCCAATTTGAGAGACCTCGGACTGTGACCTTGAAAACGCCCGGACGCTCCTGTAAACGGCTTTTTTTCCCATTCGCGTAGGACAAGTGAGAATCCATAGTCGTATTTGCCTACTACTGCCGGACGCTCCCGAAATGGGTCAATACTACTAAATGGACTTAGCCAGTCTATTGTTAAGGACTTAGTCTATTGTTGTGACTAAGTTCGTTCTTAACAATAGGAGGGAAACAAGTCTATTCTGATTCTCGGCCTGCCTGGTACTTTCCAAAATGTGGGCCCAACCGAAATGGGTAAATGGGCTTAGTCAGTCTATTGTTAAGGACTTAGTCTTGTTATGGACTAAGCTCTTAACAAGACTTAAGGACTTAGTCTTGTTATGGACTAGGCTCTTAACAAGACTAAGTTCTTCGCAATAGGAATGGGAAAAAACAAATTTTTACTACGTTCTTAACAACAGCAGGGAAAAACTAAGTCCTTAACAATAGACTACTGTGCCTTAGTCCTTAACTATAGACTACTGTGCCTTAGTCCTTAACAATAGACTATTGTGACTTAGGGCTTAAAGCACCAGTACACCCCATATCGCCCCGCGGGTGTCAGCATGAGACCCGCACCACTTCGGAGGCCCGCCGATTTTTTTTTTCAATGGCGCCCCTGGCCGCGCAGCCCCTCCGAGTTTTGCTTGTGACGTCAAAAATCGTTCTGCAAGGCTGGGGCCGTGTACTTGCGGCTTAAGCCACCAGTACATGGCCTTAGCAGCCAAGTTGAGTATCCGATCGAGCCTCTCCTAAAATTTTGGAGGCTCAGGGCAGGGCATCCGAAGGGGCGAGTAGAAGAAAAAAAAAAAAATTGTCCCATGCTGTGGGGTGGCCTTAGTCCCAGCCCTGAACAAAATAAAATTTCCCCAGCCCTCAGGCGGGCCTTGCCCCAAGTCTCCTAACTTTTCAGAGAGCCTCATTTGAATTCTCCACATGTACTGGTGGTTTAAACCACCAGTACACCCGACCCTAAATGTACGAGCCTAAATTTTGACTTTTGCCGAGCCTGAAAGCCATGGGCACCAGCTCTTGCAAAATTGGCGTGGTACCGGTACCGGCCTCTGTGCTGGACCTGCTGTCAGGCGATGGAATGAAAAGGAGGCCGCTGTTTTCACTACTTGACACCCAGCCAAACACCCACAGGAGAGAGCACCCGCATGTAGCACATATCGGGTGCCAGATGCAGGCACCTCATCATGAATGGGTGCCTGTTCGCAAAACGAGCGGGCAGTGGTATATAATTTTCCCTTACAGCTGAAAACAAAATAAAGCAGAGCTTTCCCAAAAGAATAAATAAATAAATAAATGAAGCAGAGGACATGAGATTGTTTGCAAGATCTTAGGGCGCCTCCTTTGTCCTCTGACAGCTGTGCTGCCACATGGTCCACATGAGATTCATGGTGCGCACTTCCTGAGCCAGATACACACCTGGATTCCCACAGCACTGCCCGCACGCGGAAAAAAAAACAAGTTTTTTTTTTTCGTTTTTCCTTTTTTTTTTGGGTGCCAAAGAGGCAGGAACGCTTTACTTTTCTGCGCCCGTATGCAGACACAGAATGGGAGCAGATGCATAACCTGTGAATCACTGCATACTTGCCTACAGCGGGCGTTTCTGCCCTTTTTCCTGAAGTTTGAGGGCTTTCTGCCCTTGTATAGTGCATGCCCGCCATGTGGCGGGCGTTTTGCCACGCTGTTCCTTTTGATTCAGTTTTTTTTTTTTTTTTTTGCTATAGCTGGGCCTTGTCCGTGCATGTGTTTTCACAGTCGCAGACTGAACGTGTAACCAGCGGGCAAAACAACAGTCCATTTGCCTTTTCCTGCTGGGCCCACCTCTTTCTCCCCCGACGCACTACCCTGCCTTCCCCGAGCCTCAAATTTCTCTTGTGGTGACAAGTTTACTTTTCTGCAAGGCTGGGGGCGTGTACTGGTGGTTTAACAATAGACTATTGTTGTGACTTGGTCAGTCTATTGCTAAGGACTATTGTTATGGACTCAGTTGATTTCCCTCCTATTGCCCTCAGATAAAATTTCCCCAGCCCCCAGGCGGGCCTTGTCCCAAGTCCCAAGGCTCCTAAGAGTCCTAACTTTTTGGAGAGGCTCATTCGCATTCTCCGCATGTACTGGTGGTTTTTCAATAGACTATCGTCACTTGGTCCGTCTATTGCTCAAGGACTATTGTTATGGACTTAGTTTTCCCTCCTATTTTCCTCAAATGGGCCTCTATGATAGCTAGTTTTTTAACCCTCCCATTGTCCTCAAATGGGCTTATGATAGATGTTAAGCCACTACCGTCTTCACCCGAATAGAACACCCGGTAATTATCGCCGTATCTGGGCTGAAAGTTGTGCCAAATACAGCTATAATGACCGGGCGTTCTATTCGGGTGAAGACGGTGGTACACAACCCCAGCCTTGCAGTTTGAAACTTGTCGCCACAGGAAAACGAGGCAGAAGCGTCAAATGCTGGGCCTGCCGTTGATATATTGGATTGGCGGTCGTTTTTTCGTTTTGCGCCTCCGGAATTCAAGGCGTCAGGCCCACGGCCCAGGTAGCCGTGTACTGGTGCTTTAAGGACTTGGTGGTCTATTTTGTGACCGGGTCGTTTTTCTGACTGCCCAATCTCTCTCCATTGCCATCGCAGAGGTTTCCTCGAGCGTTGCTTGGTCTTTCCTGAGTCTTAAGAATTTCTGCATGCCACCTCCTCGAAATACTAGAAACTTCAACGGGTCCCTCGATAGGAGTTTCTAGGTACCCTTCAAAGTTTCTAGTATTTCTTCTTCTAGGTGGGGGTTTGTAGAGTCGTTGAGACCCCAGGAGGGAGCTTTAATGTAAGGGTTGAAGGGGTATTGTTGTCCCCTCCCAAGTACTCCTGGTTCAGTGAATTTTAATGTACGGACAATTGCCTTGAGATCCTAACGTTAAGGCTATGGCGGACTACTCAGGCCCTTGCGCAAGACAACGCAAAGCAGCTATGGCCGCTGCTCTTCAAACTGCACTACCTCAACCCAGATGCAGCGCCTAACGAGGTGATGAAGATGGCATCCACCATAGCCAGGTAAGTACCTCACCACTCTCCTCCTTTGCCCCCTTCTTCCTCCTCCTCAAGCTGGGCTGCTGACCATAGCCAGGGAGAGCGCCCAGGTCTCCTCGTTCCTCCCCAGCAGCGCTCAGAGAACCGGCGCCCGCTCAAGCATCATGACGCCCAAACTTGCATACTGTAGCTGAGGAGGAGCTATACTCCCTCCTCCAGGAGATAAAGCGGCCAACGAGCCTCATGGCTGGTGACTTCCTAGGACGCACGGCCTCCAAGCAACCGGTACCTCCTCCCTTTTGGAGGGAAACATCATTGCAGCATCTGATATCGTCCGCACAGGCCCTAGACTCAGGCTACCTGGACTGGCACCCGCCTACGTCTAGGTCTACCGCTACTGGGCCTCTACAATGCCAACTTTTTGTCTTCTTCTGCTCAGCCTGTGGTTTTTAACACATCTACCGTCACTTGAGTGGTACTGGCCTACCTGGTTCTCGAGTGTTTTTCCCCGCTTCCCTATATAGGTGTCGCGGGCCTACTTCCCGCTACTCGAGTGTTTTCCTCGCTGCAACCCTCAAAGTCACGGCCTCAGGTAAAGTACCGGCACACAACTGCCCTGTTGGGGCACACACACACTCAGGCAGACTTGCACTCAGACAGGCACACGGACCAGCAAGCATGCACGCACACACGCACAAACTTAAAAAACTCAGCAGAACGCGGGAATCTCAGTAAGGCAAACGTCTGAGCGGAAAATTTCAGAAATCAGCACAGTTCTCAGTCTGTGATTTTGCAGGTCATTACAAAGTTTTTGAACTTCGTTTTTCACTCTTTTTTTATTTATTGCATGGTCATTATATACTAAATAGTATCTGTATTCGGGGCAAATTTCAGTCCAGAGAGAGCGATAATGACTAGAAATTCTATTCCGCAGAAGATGGTAAGCCAACAGCCAATTCCTTGGACCTTTTTTTTTTTTTTTTCATTTTTTTCTCGTCCGTAGCCACTTGCTTAGGCAGTGGATAAGGGAACGTGTTTTCATGATAATGGATTCTTTGTGTTCCCCCCCCCCCGCCGCCCCCCTACCCCCCGATAAAAAAAAACGGGAATGTGTTACAGCTGTTGCAGTTTGTCTGCACTCTTGAAGCTTATGAACTGTTTTTCTTTTTTTTCTTTCTTGAATTTTTTTCCCTTTTACTAGTTCTCTACGTTGCGACTTACCCACGTACGAGTACAAGTCGTACTCATTTCTCGTACGCTACTCGTACTCTAGGGCCCGTACGGCTTTTTTTTTTTTTAATGGTTTTTTTTTCTTCTCAAATTCTAATAAGAATCTGCAGATGGTGCTCAGCCAAATGTTGCTTTTTTTGTCATGCTGCAGCACGTTTTTTTTTTTCGGATTTTTTTGACCACTCCTTTTTTTTTCTTTTTTTTTGGTACGGGGGCGTACAGGGGGTACAGGTTCCCGTACAGATATTACCTGTACGTTTCATACGGAAAGGCCCCGTATGTGTACGTTCGGTACAGGGGCGTACAGGTTCCCGTACAGATATTACCTAAGTTCTTACTACTTCTTTGGCTTATTTTAAATATTTTTTTCTTTTTCTTTAATGAATGAATTTGGACCATGTCTCAGATTTGTACGTGTTCCTCTTGCAGTTCTTTTTTTTTTTTCTGAAACGATGTACGGACACAGGCAAGCTCATGAACTCTAGTAAATGGGAAGTGACCTAGGCTACCAGCCGGGCCGCCCGGGTCCCAGGTGGGCAGCCCGTGCAACAACCAGGGAAAGTCCCAGCAAAAAAAAAAAAAAAATCCAGAAAAAATCGAAAAAAACTATGTTATGCAGAAAAATAAACTGAACAACTTTGCCTCAGGGTCGCATCGAAATTCTTCACCAAATTTAGAACAAAAAATAAAATTTTCGTTTTTTTTGACTTTTTTTGGGCTGGCCGGGCAAGTGACCCCGGGCCACTCTGGTAGCCTAGGAAGTGACACTTTTTTGGGGAGGTGGGAGGGGGTGGGAAGGGGTGGGAGGGTACAAGGTTACAAATTTTTACATGTGTTCTTTAATGTGCTATTTTTGGAAGTCTGAACTGCAATGCTCAGTTGTTTGTGTGTATGAAGGAAGATTGGTTGTGAAGTTGGATAATCATTTGCGTCGTGTTTTTCCTTTTTTTTTTAAGCAGATGAGGAGATGGAATCTGGTCAGAATGCGGAACCGGGTTCGCACCAGAGACCGAAGCGAAGGCGGAAGATACCAGACAGGCTTCTGGACTCTCAAGAGGGGAAAATGTTAAGGCCTATAAATCGGAGGAAATGTCTTGGAAGGCTCCGACTGTCGGCTCCAGCTGGGCTGCCAAGGGGGGCGCACAGTTTCCGGAGGGTCGTGGGGCGGGGAGCGACCAGCCGACCAAGAGGTAGTAGCCATGAGACTGGCCAGGACGATCCTTTCGCGAGGGCCTCTAGCAGCGATCTAGTGGGTGGCACAACAGCAAGCGCTGATGACTTTAGAACGACCGCAAGCCAGTTCCTCCACAGGAGTCCGGTCCACGTACACAAGGATGGTCCGCTTACACGCCAGGGAGAACATGGTGGGGCCCATGCGGACGGCAACACTTTTCATCACTGGGATAGCCCGATTCCTGTTCACCGCCGACAATCGCCATACTCAATCTGAAATTTGCAGGTCATTATGGTAAGTTAGCTTTTCTGTAGTGCCCTGTGATTAGCTGATGATGAGTGTGCCGCTCCCGCTCTCCATGTCGATCAATAAATGAAGATTTCAACTTCAGTGTAAAAGTACACTAATGGCAAGGGTCTTGTACCCCTTTTTTCTCAAGAAACAAGGCTGGATTCCTCCTCCTCCTCCTCCATGCGCTTGTTATTCCTGGTGCCATTTCTGCTCTTGCTCCTCCTTTTCTCTGTCTCCTCCGTGCTTCTTACTTGAGGAACTACTGCTGATATTTCTGGTTTTGCTCCTCCTCCTCCTCCTCCTCCTCCTCCTCCTCCTCCTCTTGTTACTCCTGCACTGCTGCTGCTTTGTCTACTGTTGCTGCTTCTCCCTTTCTGTACTCTTTTTGTTTCTTTCCTAACAATGATTGGAATTCAACATTGCCGTTGCCAAGGGCAATTGCAATCTTGTCCCTCTTTTTTTCTCTCTTTCTTGTTTTTTTTTCCCTCCCTTTTCTTTTCTCTGTTGTCCTCGTTTTTTCTTTCTTCAAGGTTGTTTCTTTTTTTTTTCCCTCTCTTTTTTTGGTCCTTCCTTTGTTTACTTTGCGGTTCTCGTTTTTCTTTGCAACGTGTTCTCCTCTCCCACCCAGCTTTCCCCCTCTCCCCCTTCTCGCTCCCCTCTCCATCCCAGTGTCCAATGTGCACACTTGATTTGTGTTTTAAGAGGCTCTATAGTTGTATGGTGAAAAAAAAAAAAGGAAAAAGGAAAAAAAGAAGAAACACCCTACCTGAGGGTGCTGTACAAGGAGGTGATATAAGCACCCTCCTGTGATGGCTATGTATATATTATATGTTCAATCTCCTAACGAGTTGGTTGGTGAAACTCCGACGAAACAGTTTGTCACAGCCCCTCGTACGGTTTGCTGGGCAGTCCTGTTTGAAGATATATTCGCCAAAGGTGGAGCCCACCCACCAGGATAGTTGTCTGCTTGCGAGCCTTGCATATTATGCACGCCCTTTTTTCAGTTCTTTTTTTTTTTGTTTTTCCTCGCTGTTTTTCTCAGTATTCAAGCTTATCATCTTGTGTACTAACAGTCAGATGTGTGTGAATTTCACTGTGTACCATTCATCCACATGAGCTTGGTAGGTAGGGGTGTTATATGCATGCGACCTGCTCAACTGACGTCATCTCTTTTGTCAGACTGCAGCTGCAGGGCCAATTCCATTTGTGCTGCTGTCCTTATCCTCCAGGATATGATGTGAGGGCCCCTCCGGTATGGATTATGTTTTTTTTTTTTTTTTTTTTTTTTTTTTAAACTGTATGTTTGTGCTCTGTGCAATAACCCGCTCAATTATGCTAATGTCGTCGGACATGGGGCCACCCACAGGCGACAGTTCGGCCTCAGCAAGGGCCTGCATCCGACTGTGCGAAACAAGGCCCCTGAAACGAGGCTTCACAGGCCCGGCACCTGACAGTTGACTGAAGTCAACTGTGACTCGGAACTTTGAGGCTCACGAGTCAAAGTCTGCACGGACCCAGTCAAGGCTACCGATCAGACACACACACTTGGCTGTATGCAGGTATCCAGGCAGAATCTGGTCCAAGTGGAGGTCTGCAACTGTATGCGATAGAGGCCATCAGCTGTGAGTCAATCTGAGCCTTCGTACCTGGGAGACCAGAGGCTGGTTAATTCCATCAACATTACTTATTGACCCAGCCTCTGTGGGTCGAAATTTCAGTCTTGCCCTTGCACTTGCTGCTCAACGCTGGCTTGATGCTGGCTGGACGCTGGCTTGACGCTGGCATTGTCTGACGACGACGCGAGACTGCTGCATTGTGTGCTGGCACCTCTCTGCTTTCAGAGCCAGCTGTATACTTGATTGCTGACCTGGCGCTTGCTGCACTATCTTCGGCATTGCTGATGTGGTGCTTGCCACACTGTCTTCGACTCAGATTGGGGAATCGACAAGGAGGGAGATTGGTTGTGTGTGAGAGAGAGAGGAAGTTTACCTGTGATGATGCTGTCGACATTGCGCGCTGCTGTGACGTCTTCATGAGAGATTTGTGCCTACGTGGCACTTTGCTGTGATTGGATCTTGTCAAGCTCGTCTGTGGGCTACTGTTTGCTGATGTGGACGAGGGGAGATGCCCGAAGGAGGAGTGGGTTGTGAGGGAGATCTATCTTCGATGCTATTGATGGATACTTTCTATTCCATCCTCTCAAGTCTTATCTCCCTCATCTCAGCTCGGTCCTATGGTTACGGGACATTGTACTTCAGATTGCATTTCATGATTATTGGAGAATTGATCAGCGCTGAGACATTTTGTATTTCGACACTTGACGAGTTTCTCTCCTGACTGGGTTCATTACATATGTCTGGGGTCCTTTCAGTTGCGAGTGAAATGTAACAAATTGGAGAGAGAAATAGGAGGAAGAAGAAATGAAGATGGAAGAAGAAGAAAACAAACACCAGCAAGAACCAATGCCAATCCCCCCTCATCTCTTCACCATCGTCATCCCCCAGCAACTCCCCCAACATCTTTTTTGTTTTTTCCCAACATCTTATAACAACACTAACAATAACGATGAAAGAATGAACCGGAATCAATGTCCAAATCTCCTCCTTATTGCTGGTCACTCTAATCGTTGGTGGCTATGGCGGATCATCGGATCCGAGCTCCGATGTTCAAAGGGCAACGCAAAGCTTCAATGTCTCTCCTACAATGGCCGCCATGCCACGTTCCACCCTTGGAGTCTTCCCTCCAAAGATCACGCCCTTTTGGGCCTTCCAGGTGCAGCGCTAACCAAAAGATGAAGATGCAGACCGCCATAGCCAAGGTAAGCTCCTTCTTCACTATTCTCGTTCGTGTTCTTCCTCTTCCTCCTCCTCCTCCTTCCCCCTTCCTCTACGTGGATGTCAAGGCCCGTCTTCTTCCTCCACCCAGTGATGCCTCAATTGGGCAGTCGCTCCAGCGGCGTGCCTCCAAGCTGCACACTAGCAAATGAGGGTGATCCCTTCCCCTCTCCACTTGACATATTGGAGTAGTGCCTCTTCGCGTGTTGCTTTTAGGCCGCTGTTGCACTTTTCCCAGTCAGGCCAGTTCTGGCGACCAGAAAGTCAACAGGCTGTCACGCAGGATTTTAAATAGTTGTTGCAATAAATAAATGAAATTAATTAATGTGAATCCCTTCTTGTTGTGTGCGTCCGGCTTCGAGTGAGACCCTTCAATTGCGGTCTTCGCTGGTCTTTGGAATCTTTTATTTTGATTCGGAACAGCAATAATCATGTCAATAATGAATTGAAAAATTACAAGTATACCATGCATCTATCAAGTTTTGCCAATTTATGAATTTGAGAACTGTGACAAGATCAGCAGAAAGCAATAATCTCAGGCAAGGTCAATGCAAGCGAATCAGGACTGACCGACTCAAGGCAAAGAGAAGATAAATGATGGAAGGTGAGAACTCGTATAATCTCTGAAAGTACAGATGAAAAGACATGGCCAGCACTCGTCGAGAGTCCTCACTCATCCCTCTCAATTCCCATCCTCAATCTCTCATTTGACTGTGTGTTTCTTGTGCCTTGAGCCACGTCTGTGTACTTCTTGAGATTGTGGTCTAGAGACATATAGAGCCACCTGTAGCCCGCAAGTTTTGAACATGTCCACCCAAGACCAAATATACGGAAGTCGAGCATGGCACGTAACTCCTGTCACAAGGTAGGAAGATAAGGCTTGGAGAAGATCCCTCGTCTGAGATGTCGATACTTTGAGCGTTCAGTCATTGCCTCGTAGTCAATCTCTGCAGATGAGATATACCTCTTGACCAGATCCACCAAGTCACCCTAGTAAGAGCCATCTGTCAGGAGGAAAGGAACTGGAGGCCTAGGGTAATCTTTGTAGAGCTTGGGACCAAGGGTACGGATCAACTTCAATGCTACTATCATCAAGCTCTCTCTCTCTCCTCTCAAGGTATTTGGCTGCTGAAATTCAGACCGAATCAAAATGCGTATGAGTTTCCTTGCCCTTTTTCACATAGAGCCTCAGGTCATGAATGGCGCATTCCGCAAACCTGGTGAGGACAACGAAGATTGACAGATCTTCTTGTCTGAAACCAACTGCACTGACATATTGGTACTGGAAAGCATCCTTGAGTGCGATCTGGTTGAGATTGATCATCACTGACTCGCCATCCGGAAATGAATGAACTGTACGCATGTGTACTGAAGCTACTCCGAATGTTTGATAAGTACACTGTCTAATTTAGGCTGATCTGGAAACAGATTGATAGAGACTGTGTAATGATTGACTTTGATTGCCGATCTGTTGTAAAGATATGGGATAGCTCACTCTGAAACTGCCAGGAAGAACCGGACTGAGCTCACGAGAGGATACCCGGAGTTGAGCTCCGACAACGGTTATGTCCAGACTGATGCTAACGGTGATACTGTGTGCAAAGAGCCGCTTGCTGTCTGCAGCTAATGGTGCTGCCAAATGTAAAGATATTTGCTATGAGTTGAACCTGTCTGCTCAGAGGATCTTTGGAGAGGATCCAGAGGTACGCTCCACACCAACCTAACCCCGCTAAGCACTGATCACTTCATTCGCTCTCTGAACAGTTTCAAGCGATGAGAAAGTGCTGTGTGGCTTCTCATCGGACGCAAGAATGTAAAATGCGAACGCTATGAACCCGTGTCTGCTTTTTTCGAACGCTATGAACCCGTGTCTGCTTTTTTCGAACGCTATGAACCCGTGTCTGCTTTTTTCGAACGCTATGAACCCGTGTCTGCTTTTTTCTTCCCCAACTGCAACATCCCTCGTTTTCTTTGTATGGTCTTCTATCTTCTCAAACACTCTGATTTCACAACCATCGGTTTTATCATGACAGAGAGTGCAGGGGATCACCAGTGTATAATGATACTATTATCACTTCCCAAGGTCTTTCTTTCTTCTCTGCAAAGTCCCATTGCAATGACCATTGAGCGGGAGACTAGGAAGTATGCAAGAAAGTCTTCATTAGTCAGAGGTTTGGAGACTCATCCAAACTCACCAACAATGATAGACTACTTATGTTGGTTGAAGAGGGCTCACAATAATTGGCCTGTAGTCGAAACGAC